GTGCCACGCTACTAGGAACAAGTGCCTTACTAGTAGTACCAAGAAGCGATTAGTAACAAGTGCCACGCTACTAGGAACAAGTGCCTTACTAGTAGTAACAAGAAGCTATTAGTAACAAGTGCCACGCTACTAGGAACAAGTGCCTTACTAGTAGTAACAAGAAGCTATTAGTAACAAGTGCCACGCTACTAGGAACAAGTGCCTTACTAGTAGTAACAAGAAGCAACTAGTCTAATAGCTTCTTGTTACTACTAGTAAGGCACTTGTTTCTAATAGCAAACAGTGTTACTACTAGTAAGGCACCTGTTACTACTTTTCCAGCCACACCGCCCGGCCAAGGCGTGGAACTCAGACACGAACGCCTTCTACTTAGCTTTGTCAGAACACTCGAGCTTGGTGTGGTACCTTGACGAGGAAGATCGGCTTCATGCTGTGGATGAGAATGGTCTTGACCAGTGCGTTTGCGGAAACGGACGTGCGAATCTGAGTTTATGCGACTCATGTGACAACAGAAGTTGGATCATCAACAGGCAAGTGCTGATGGACCCGAATGGAACCTCATGCGCCTTCAACCAGAGCAAGAATACCATCATTACCAAGCCTTGCAAAGAAGGGCAGAAGGCAGGGGAGACATGGTATTTTGCCTCTGGAAATTGTTTCGTTGGCATGCAGATGGTGGATACTGCAACGAAAGCTTGGAATTGCACCGTGGCTGCCAAAACTGACATTCTGGAGCTGAAAGATTTGCAGTATGAGGCAGAGGTGACCAACCGCACAACGGAACTGTTCCAGATTCGCTTGAGCAAGAACAGTTGCATTGAGGCAGACTGGAGCTGCCATTATAACCATTCAGGTGCGGCAGAAGCGTAGTAGGCTGGAGGCCATCGCTAGTGAGTTGGAGGCGATCGCATTTAGGTTGGAGGCCATCACTAGTAGGTTGGAGGCCATCGCTAGTAGGTTGGAGGCCATGGCTATTAGGTTGGAGGCCATCCCTCGTAGGTTGGAGGCCATCGCTAGTCGTTGGTAGGTTTGGAGGCCATCGCCATTAGGTTGCAAGCCATCGCTAGTAGGTTGGAGGCCATGGCTAGTAGCTTAGGAGGCCATCGCTATTAGCTTGGAGGCCATCACTAGTAGCTTGGAGGCCATCGCTAGTAGGTTGGAGGCCATCACTAGTAGCTTGGAGGCCATCGCTAGTAGGTTGGAGGCCATTATTCTAGGTTGGAGGCCATTACCTTTAAGGTGCGCCAGAGCTTTGAAGTTGGTGTCTCGCTTGTTTGTATTTTTCGCTCTTGCTCCACATATAGGGCCTATCAAGCGACATGTTGAAGAGACGGTTGCTAAGAAGTATGTCGCCGGAGCTGCATTCATGCCAAAGTCGAGAAGGTGAAGCCTGGGTTCTAGTAGGCTAGTGTAATATCGTGTAACTAACGACATGTCATTGACGTCACAACTGATTGCTGCTTCGATTCTTTCGAAAAAATAACACATCCTGCCAGGAGTGACGTACCATTGCATGCAGGTGTCAGAGAACTGCACCGGGGGCTTTAGCATGCAAGAGGGTGGCATCATTCGATATTACCCGGAGGGTGATTTGAGAAGAGGACCATACTATTTGTGGGGTGGATGCCCAGATGGCTATGCTTGCCATGGCACACAAGTCTGGGTCATTGGATCGGCATCACAAGCTACGTCATGGCAGCTGTCTGCAAACAGCATTCACGTGAATCCAGGTCACACCGCTGGTTCTACTTTCGATTACATGGCGATCTATTACGAACATATAGTTACTACACCATCTGGTCAATATGACCTGGGAACGGTGGACTGTGCCCCCGCGATGTTGTCGATGATCGTGGGGCCGATCTTAAGTGGGGATGTGAATGATGTTTGGATGGAATGCGCAAATACTGCGCCGGCTTCAATGTCTCAGACCAATTGCGACTTCTATACACTGAGCTACGAGAAGAAAGCAAAGTCCTTGTCGATTGCGTGTCCAACCGGTCAAGTCATGACGTATCTCCAGGGTTGGTTTGCCTCAGACGGCCACTACCCAGAAGAAGGTGGCTCCATCGGGTACTCATGTTGTGAACTTCAGCTCCCTGAACTTACACGACTCAGCTTCGGCGGAGGTGTACCTCCCACAGCTCCCGATGGAAGCCATGGAAACTACACCTTTTCCTGTGAAGATGTCGGGGTGTTGACGGGGCTACTAGACAAGAAGAAGCTAGTAGGTGGAGGCCATCGCTACTATTAGCTCATTCGCTACTAGTAACAAGAAGCTACTAGGTGGAGGCCATCACTACTAGTAGCTGCACAAGAAGCTACTGAGGCTCACTTGGGCAGAACATGTAGATGATGCTAACGTTCTTTGCAACGGATACCATCGCATCCCGATTGGTGCACGCGTGATTCTGGTTGGTTGCTCTCAAGAACCGGATGATCCTTACACTCAGTGTAGTCAGAAAGGCATGATGTATCAGTTCCAATTTCCAAACTACCATGGGAAGAATGACACATCAAGCTCAACAACCTATATGTCTACCTGCGAGGCTTCTGTATCCATCGTGTCAAATCAATCTCAAAGTGGAGATCCTCAAAGCTTGTCTTTGATCGTGCAAAATCAAGAGTTGCTCACCCCAGAGCAATTGCAGGCTTACTCCAGTACACCAACCATGCAGGTGGTTGTGCAATCAGACATTCTTTTCAGTTGCCGGCCAAGTCCTACTGGACCGGTGCATTTGGCCAACGTGAATTCCACGTTGTGTGCCAATCGCGTGCCCGTTTCCCCGAGAGATCTCCGGAGTGCCTCTGGCGTGGTCTCCAACTTGGGAGACAAAAGTTTGCTCATCCAAAAGACATGCCCAGTGCTCATGAGCGCTTCAGATCAACCGGTTGCTCGAGTGGTTAGCCCAAAAGGTTTGACCATGGAGAGTTTCTTCAATATCCTCAAGAATCAGGTGGGTGTGCTTTTTGTCAAAACTGATTGCAGCATGTTGTAAAGGTCTCTAGACTCTAGTGTGTGACGTGTTTTAGAACGAACCGTGCAACGAAAACCAGCCACCTGTCAGGTCTACTACAGTGTGCCCTTCGTGAGTCCGTATCAATGGCCCTTCGACTTCACGGGAGACTCCCTTTCATCAGCGAATCTGGTGGGTTTTCTCAGTCTCTCTGCCATCGGAGAGGCCTGGCCTCCAACCTAAGAGCGATGGCCTCCGACCTAAGAGCAACGATAACCTCCAACCTAGTAGCCATGGCCAACAACCTAATAGCTTATTTGGTTTAGGTGTTCTCAGTCTCTCTGCCATCGGAGAGGCCTGGCCTCCAACATAAGAGCGATGGCCTCCAACCTACTAGAGATGGCCTCCAACCTACTAGTGATGTCCTCCAACCTACTAGTGATGGCCTCCAACCTACTAGGGATGGCCTCCACCGATGGCCTCAAACCTACTAGTGATGGCCTCCAACCTACTAGTGATGGCCTCCAACCTACTAGAGATGGCCTCCAACCTACTAGTGATGGCCTCCAACCTACTTTAAAAAAAACCTCCAACCTACTAGTGATGGCCTCCAACCTACTAGAGATGGCCTCCAACCTACTAGTGATGGCCTCCAACCTACTAAAAAAATCCTCCAACCTACTAGAGATGGCCTCCAACCTACTCGTGATGGCCTCCAACCTACTAGAGATGACCTCCAACCTACTAGTGATGGCCTCCAACCTACTAGTGATGGCCTCCAACCTACTA